CGCGCCCTACGGCTGTGACTCACTAACTGGTCCTGATCACCCAGCCGGAAAGCTATCATCTAACACCGTAACACCCCCCTCGGCTGATAAGCCGGATGTGGAGACGGGCGACAGATAACAGCAAAAACGACTGGGTAACGGATGGGTTATCAGCAAGTACAGAGCGCAACGAAGCCAACAAGTCATCCTGGCCGGACAAGTTGCACAATCAAGCAGTTAGAAGCGTACATGGTGCAAGCAAAAGGCGGCTATGCTTTGGGCAGAAACGTGCAAGGGCCTCCGAACACGCAATTCAATATTTGAAGTGTCGCATGTCACCGGGTAGTGCACGATGTCTGAACGAGCACCTGAATCTCAGACGATCCTGGGCTCAAGTCACTTGCGAAGCGGCTCGCGATGATAAACAGGACTTGGAATGAGCTACCACTCCGCCGAGTCAGGAGGGCCAGTCCTGAGTAAAAAAACAAGAAAATCGAACCGGAGCGCTGGTTTTGCGGGAAATCCGGCTTTCGGCGGCGAGCAAGAGCCTCGGTCCCGAGTAGACAGGGAGGAAGTATCGAGCGGGAGCGTTGCTGCTATTGTTTTCATTATTGCTGTTTGTTGTTGTTGTTAATGATGATGTGGGGCCGGTGTCGGCGCACCCCCGAAACGCCTGAGCGTGAGCCTCGATTTCAAATGACATGCAGCCGGCGCGAAGGCGAGAGTGCCAGGGCACCTCTAGGGGTCCAACAATAAGAACTGTTTAGCAAGAAACATTCAACAACACCCATCATTTTAAGAATCTTCACTCCTGTCTGCTCGCGTGCCACTGAAAACGTCTATCGCAAAACCCTCGATACCCGCCCTCTTCGTCTTCGACCGTACCCCCCTACGGGTATGTCTTTCTTACCTGCAACGTGAATTTTCGTGCAGCCCCTAAGGCAGGGGAAGAGAAGACGGATGGGAAGAAGGGAAAAGGGGCAGGCGGGTTGCTGAAGCGTGCGTCCTGCATGAATCGCGAGGAGTCTCAAGCGATAGCGCGATTCCCAAATAAATCGCAAAGAAATCAAAAGCGAGACCGTGATTCCGGAGTGTCGAAGGCGCGGCGTCTGAATGAATTTCGAGGAAGTCCCACTCGAGAGCGCAATTCCTGTGTAAATTGTGAGGAAATCCCGCGCGAGAGCGCGATTTGGGAATCAATTGTTAGGAAATACAATCAAGCGGAAGCCGCTGTTTTGGTAAACCGGGGGCCAGGGGCACAGCTTGGTGACACCTCACTTTCCCTTGTAAAAAAAACGGTGTGCGAGCCCTGGAAGAAGCACTTTGATAGGAAAAATACGATGGTTACCGGACAGGGCGATCAACAATAACAATTCCTTAAAAATGAAAACTCAACATCAACAACAGCAGCAACAACAATAGTAATTTCAAGACTGTTCGCTCCTAGCTGCTCGCGTGCCACTCAACACGTATATCCCAAACCCTCGATACCCGCCCTCTTCGTCTTCAACTGTACCCCCTTGGGGGTATATCGTCCTTACCTGCCACGCACAGTTCGCGCAGCCCGTAAAACATGGGAAATGAGGACGGATGGGGGAGGGAGAAGGATGGAGCACGAGAGAGATTAACAGGACGCGGGGGCCAGGAGCAGAAAATGCGAGTCAAAACCCAGCGGGATGTTCGGGCGGGTAGGCCCTGACGCGAGAGCGCGATTCTGGCATAACGCACGAGGAAATCTTGCGAGAGAACGCGAGATTGGAATGAATTGCGAGGAAATATCCAGCGGACGCCGTTGTTGTTATAAACCGGGGGCCAGGGGCACAGTTTGGTGACACCCAGCTTTCCCTTTTTTAAACAACAAAGAGTAGTGCAAGCCCTGGGAGAAGCACTTCAATTGAATAATACCATGTGCCCTGGAGGGGTATCAACAGTAACTGTTCTTCTGTAGTGATAGTTGAACAACAACAACAAAAACAACAACAACAACAACAGCAGCAGCAGCAGCAGCAACGACAACAAGAACAACAACAACAACAACAACAACAACAACAACAACAATCAGTTTAAGATTGTTCGCTCCTGTCTGCTCGCGGGCCATTCAACACGTATATCCCAAACCCTCGATACCCGCCCTCTTCGTCTTCGATCGTACCCCCTTGCAAGTATACATCTCTCCTACCTGCAACGTGTATTTCGTGCAGCCGCTGAGGACGGATGGAAAGAAGGGGCAAGGGGAGGGAGGAGGATGGAGCACGGGATTAGCAGGAGGGGGGCTAGGAGCAGAAAACACGTGGCAGAGCCTGACGGGCGGGTAGACCCTAACGGGCGGGTCGGGAAGGCGGGCCCAAGCGGCCAGGTCGAGCAGGCGGCGTTCAAGCGTGATTACTACATGACTCGCGAAGAAGTCTCGAGCGGTAACGCGATTCCGAAATAAAAAGGAAATCAACAGCGAGAGCGTGATTCTTGAGTGTCGGGGCGACAAGCATTAGGCCTCGGCCCTGTTGCATAAGAACACTATTACCGTGAAAGGTTTCGAGCTGAATCTTAACTTCTAGATTTGGAAATGAGGAATCTTGTGCAGACGACTTAACCGCTGGGCGAGACAATCCCACGCGAGGGCGCGATTCCCGCATAAAGTATGAAGAAGTCCCGCTCGAAAGCGCGATGATGGAATACAGTGTGGAAAGTATCAGGCAGGAGCCATTGTTGTTGAACTCGGGGCCGAAGGACACAATTCTTAGACCCACGACATTCCCTGATTGAAAACAGGGTGCGAGCCCCGAGAAGGGCACTTGAATAGGAAAAAAACGCAATGTGCCCCAGAAGGGGGAGATCATTAATAATGATTCTTCTGTAGTGAGAGTTCAACAATAACAACAACAGCATCAACAACAACAACCACAACCACAACCACAACAACAACCACAACAACAATAACAACAACAAGATCATCAACAACATCATCAACAACACCAACAACGACAACAACAACAACAACAACAATCATTTTACCCGAACGCTCAGTGTTCTCACCAGTGCCAGGGTTTTCATACGACGCCCGCCAATACCCCCACTTTGTGGGGGGGCCGGTTCAAGCTCTACCACATTTCCAAACGACTCTTCGCCACCACCCACACCCAGCTTCCCGCCCTATGACGTTCGGACACTTCACTTCGTGGCATGCGGACGACCGTGGCTACTACACTGGCGCATGGTTTCAATGACTTCTTGTGGTAACATCTTGTGGAAACTAGCTTAGTATACGACGACGACGATTTGAAGGGCCTACGGTGCGAAAAATGATTTTATGTTGCGCGGTGCTAAAATTCCTACGAAACCCAATGGTTTTTGAAGATTTCGGCGTGCGCACGGAAAGAAAAAACGAATGTGTCCCGCATGGTATTATTTGACAGGGATGATGGCCCTGGCAGGTGCGCAACCGTTGTTGGAGAAGTTCGAAGCACGTGAAGAAGTTGATCGCAAAAGCCCGTTTGACAGAAATGTTTAAAAAAGTTGGGTTTCCTGCAAATCCGCAAGAGCGCGCGGGATGAAATTGTGACACTTTTTTTTTAAAAAAACCATTGGTTTTTTGATGTTTTTATGTTGAAATCGTTACGAACACTAAGGTTTTGGAAGGATTTCGTCTTGCGCGCGCGAATGTCCACTTTACCTTATTTTTTGCAAGGGATTCTTGAAGTTTGGTTATTTTAGAACAAGAAATTTCATTTTATAGTGTTTTTTGCAAGGGACAGCGGGGGGGAACAAAACAACCGGATCTTGATGACATCGTATTACCTGAGGCTTCCTCACGAAAATGATGAAAATGTAGCTGCGGCCTAGGCGCGGCGAGGGGGTCGCGCACCAGGGGTCCCAACAATAATTATTCTTTAGAATAAATAATGTTCAACAACAACAACAACAATAACACCAACAACAGCAACAACAACAACAACATCCCATCGTGATTTCTTCGCAACGAGAGGAGGTGGGGGGATGGCGTTTCCAGTCCGCCTCGAGATGTCCCACACGGTGGCGGTGTCGGGGCTGCCGTGGAGATTTGTTTCCCGGCGTCTTGTCTGGCGTCCGCCGGGCCCAGCGGCGGGGACGGGAAACGCAGGGGCGAGAAATGTAGGACGAGCGTGTGCGTTCTCTCCTCCTAGACTCCTCCCTCCTCCTCCCTCCCTTCTCCGCCCTCCCTCCTCCCTCCTCCCTCCTCACTGCATTTCTTCTCCGTATGAATCACTCCCGCTTGTCGCACCCCCAGACGTGTCGGTAGGGCGGGCCGGGCGTTTCAACTGAGACTTCCTCACCACGACTGATCCCGAAGCTTGAAATTGAACAACTTCACAGCTGCAGGGCGGCTCGTTTTCAAAATGTGGCCCTCGCTTGAGCACCGCGCACACTCGTGTGACAAAAACTATACTAGCTTCAAGGATGGAGGGCGGGTGGTTTCCAAAATGTGTCTCTCGCCTTAGCGCCACACACAATCGTTTTGAAACTTAGCCGCAAGTTCATGGATGGAGGGCGAGCCGTTTTCAAAATGTGGTTCTCGCATTGGCGCTGCGCACATGCATTCTAACAGTTTGCAGAAATACAGATTGAAGCATGGATGGCGGATCGCTGTCAAAATGTTACTCTCGACTTAGCGCCGCGCGCATTCATCTTAAAGCCTTGTAACAGTTTCAAAGATCCGTAGGGTTGGAAGTCTCAGGAATGGTGTTCTGGCAAGGTTGAGGATTACTCACGACGCAGCAGTCACATTGATCCGCGGCGTTGAAATCCCAGGACAAGTGGCACGATTTAGAATTGTCAGGACACAAGAGTGACGTTGACTGGCGGCGTTGAAATTCCAAGAACGGCGTTTAGGCACGATTGTGGATTCTCAAACGGTTGTCTTTCAACGGGGCACTTCCCGCAAAGAAGATTACTTCTCCTCCTCTTCCGATGACGACGACGACGACGACGACGACGACGACAACGACGGCGACCGCGCTTGCGCTCTGCTGCGGTCCCCGATAAGCCTGGGGAGCATACTCCGAAGCCGCTCGGGGCGGCGCAGAAGTGGCAAGAGGAGCAGGTCACGGCCAGGAGGACGAACATGAAAGTGTGCCAGGTCCTGGATGAGGGGTGGGAGAGGAGGGGAATGCAACGAGGGGGGAGAGGCTCTCCTCCTCCTCCTCCTCATCCTCCTCCTCCTCCTCCTACTCCTCCTCCTCCTCCTCCTCCTCCTCCTGCCCCACGGTGGGTGTTTGCCTGGCACCCATTCTATGGTGTCAGCGCCACTCATTCCTCGGGGCAGACTGGCAGGATATTGCATCCGCGGGCAGGGTGAGCGGCTACCGGCCTTTCTTGTCGGAGGCTGAGGGTGGACGTTGTGAAACCTGTATCGGCGGGCCGACCGCAAGGCGTCCGTCGTTGGGTGTAGCACGGCCCTCGGTCTCTGTGTGGATCGCAGCGGGACTAGGCCTGGGGGTGGACGTTGCGAAACCTGTATCGGCGGGCCGACCGCAAGGCGCCCGTCGTTGGGTGTAGCACGGCCCTCGGTCTCGGTCCTGCTGGCGGCGGCGTCAGCCAGGCGCCTGGGTTGCTATTCCCACGTGGTCTGGCTCCCAGGGAAGTGCGTTTTCCGTGAGAGGTGGTGGCATGTGCCACGTAAATCCGGTCGGGCCTTGTGTCCACTCACGGCTGGGGCTGTTTGCGTCAGGCAGACCCCAGAACGCACTGCCAATCGTCCCGGCAGGGTGGCCTGTGGCCCCCAACGCACCATGTCGGGTCGGTTGGGCCGCGAGTCGTCCGGCGCCAAGGGGCAGCTCCCGTACCCTGTCCCGCGTGAATTTCTCCTGATGCGTATTTGCGGCGCTGGCCCGGGCAACTTGGGCTGGTGACCCTTATACATTCCTACATTCCTCCTCCTCCTCCTCCTCCTCCTCCTGCTCCTCCTCGTCCTCCTCCTCCCCCTCTTCGTCCTCCTCCTCCTCCAGCTCACCCTCATGCGTTCCTCTCTCTTTCTCTCTTTCTCACTTTCTCTCTTTCTCTCTCCCTTACTCATCCTCCTCCCCGTTGCTCCACCCCACCCCGCCCGGAGGCAGCGAAGGCCCGAGGTCCTCCCCATGCGCCAGCACGCCAAGGCCGGTACCAGGAAGGCGAGGCTCGAAAGGCTCGCGAAGGCCGCCTCCCATTGCGCAGCCCCGCGCACATCGGCCTTGCGCACGCCGTCGTCGTCGTCGGCGGTGCCGGCGCCGTCGTGGCCTCCTCGAACTCAACCTCCTCTTCCTCCTCCTCCTCCTCCTCCTTCTCCTCCTCCTCCTCCTCCTTCTCCTCCTCCTCCTGCTCATCCGCCTCATCCTCTTCCTCCTCCTCCTTCCTCTTTCTCCTCCTTCTTCTCCGCCTCCTCCTCCTACAGCGTATTACGTAGCCGAGGGCGCGCCGAGTTTGTCATATCTCGCCTTCCACCTTTCGCACAGACTGTGAGCGAGCACTCTGCCATCTGACGAGCTGCACGGCCTCCGATTTCTGTCGGTCGGAGAGGCCAGCAGGGGTCAGGTCAGAGTCCGCCCTGGGGGCATTGCTCAGAAAGCATCCAGCGATCACTCCGAGGAAGGACGAGGGGGAGGGAGACAGAAGGCCCAAAGGCCTCGAGGAGGCACGAGGGGAGGGGACAATCAACGATCGCGGATGCAGTCCTCCAAAAGGGGACAGAGCCAGTAGTGTACGAAGGAATCAGAGCAGGTTCGACCTCCAACCGCCGCCGACCAGAGACATCCGAGACGATACGGACCAGGGGAGGGGATATAGAAGCGGTGGCTCGTCACCCAACAGCCCGTTGGGGTCTTCAGACATGCGGTCGCATTCGAAGGAGAGCATCTGCATAGCGCCTGCTACACACGCGTCCATTCGACGCGTTCCAGGGCAGGGGCAGCAGCAGGGAAGTATGACATGAACCGACGATACAAAGAGAATCCCGAGCTGGCCAGGGAAGAACAGATCGTGGAGGGTCTGGTAGATGATTCTCTGGAGGGTGGATAGCCTTCAGGGTCCGAGGAAGCGGGAGAGCAGCAGCATCAGCACAAGCAAGCCTCGGAGCGAAGGGAAGGCCCCCCCCTCGAGACCAGGCCAGGCCGCGGCCCGCGAGTTCCAGCTGGAGGCGGGCACGGGCCACCGAGGCAGCCTCGCCGAGGTGGAACCCAGGAATATCCCCCCTCGGTCTGGCCTGCGCCCTCCCGGCCCCGAGGTCCGCAGGAGAGAGCTCCACCCCCGCCTCCCAGGAGCGCTCGAGCGCCGCCGGCAGCGATCGGAACGTGAACGTGAAGAGGGAAGCCCGCATCGGAGCGGACGCAGCCAGAAGGGAGATCGACGGGATCCCAGGGCACCCCCAAGGATGTGCAGGACGCACCAGTCCCGACCACGGATGGCACGGCACGGCTGGCGGAGCAAACCGGCCAAGAGGGGAGGCCCCCCCTGACGGGCCAGCTCGGGGAGGGGCAGAAGCTGGGCCACCATCACTTCCGACGCCCGGGAGGA